GGCAATAACAGTGCTCGCTAATGCGACATAATGATTCGTTTTTTTTTGCCTAAATTGCAAGCTAAGGATGTAGACATGTGGTTTCAACAAGACGGTGCCACATGACATACAGCCATAGAAACAAATCAATTACTGCATGAGTCATGCCTGGTAGTGTAATTTCCCGTTTTGGTGATCAGAAGGCTGCCCACATCATGCGATTTAACGCCGTTTGACGTTTTTTCTTTGCGTTTTTTTGAAGTCTAAGGTTTATGCCAATAAGTCTACGACAACACATGTCTTGAAGGAGGGAATTGAGCGCTGTATGAACGAAATTCAGCCGCATTCAATATATTAAAAATATCATAATTTTTTTGAAATCCTTAACCCTCTGTATCTCTATGTTTATATTTAATTTTTTACATATTTTTACGTGAGGGACTTGCCCTCAAGGTTTGCAGATTTAATCCTGAAACGCCCGGTATACAGGGTGATTCACAACTTATCCAAAAAAATTTGGGAATAAATGCGGCATGAGAAATGGAGTTAATAACGTAAAAAATTTTTTGTAAAATCCTTATAGTTTCCGAGAAAAAAATTATTGAAGTTATAGCACATTAAACCACTAAATAGCTGGACAACTGTAGTCTCTAGCGTCATTCGCAATACGCGTGGCGAGCCATGTGACTCCTAATACTGAAATCCGTCATTGCGGTAGTTTTTACCTGTTATCTGTAGTGTTTACAACAGCTTTTTAGTAGTTAGTGTCAAAAATGGTCTGCGTGTATAGCAACTCAGAGTTGATGGATATCGTTTTAATTTATGGCGAAGCAAGCCAACATTTTTTTGTATTATGGTGAAGCATTTGTGTTATGGTGAAGCAAGACATCATTTATGTTAGTTCGTAGAAAGTGAGTAAGACGGACCCAAATGTGTTTACACATTGGTGGATAAAATTTGGAACAATTGTTGTTATAACATCGGGTATGTCAAATGATTTTATTATTTAAAAACACAAATTAATTTTATTAATAATTAATAAAGGCAAAAACATTTGAATTTGCCGATATAAAATAGGTGCTATAAAATTCTATTTATTTCTTTCCTTGCGAAAGTTTTTGTCCGTTTTTATCACACCGCCATGCCGGTCGCATTGGGCGAGGTCAGGTTTTACAGTGGGCCAGTTTCCAGTGCCGTGCAGAAGTGTATTTTTAAATCAATTTCGAATTGCCCTTTTTCATTTTTTCTTTACAAAATTGTATTTGTAAAGGTCCCCTGTACATCCAGATTTTTTATTTTTTTTGATAAGTTCTGAATCACCCTGTATACATGTTTCGAATGTAAATACTTTTCCCGATTAAAAAAAGAAACATTTACCCAAAGGCACATTTCTCGTAGCATTTGTGGCATTAGGGGCATTGTTAACATCGTTCCACATAGGAAGCAATGCTGACATTGTATGTTCGATACGCGGAAACCAGGATTACAAGAAACTAGTGTAACAATACCGAACTCAACAAAGCGACATTACATGCATGTACAGTTTCTAGACGATGAAATGATACCTTTTAACGTTAGGTGTTCTACCATATCCTACCCGTATATTATACACAATAAAATGATACAAAGCCGTGTTTCCCAACATTAAAAATATAGTCGAGAAATGGAAATAGTTCACGGTGTAACCGAAGAACAGTATGTATTAGGCAGTTAAGTAAAAAAGCTGGGTTACAAGGTAATAAAAGTCATCCACTTTGAAAAACAAAGACGTAAAGTATTTTACTTATTTGTTATGGCATGAGAGGATGTTGCAAATTAGGTAACAATAGTGTACCTAGGGCTGGGAAATTACCACCTATGCTATAATGGTTCATATTTGATGTTCGTTTGTTTGTTGATGTCATAACTCATAGAATTTAGTCTCTATCACATATAATAAAAACTATGTAATTATTATTTATTTTTTGTTTCTCTATGGTCCCTATTCTAACAATTATAGTTATTGTAAAACACGACTTGTATTTTCACTTTTTACAGTTGATGCACTGTAGAAGTAAATCGCGATGACTAATTATTAAAAATCATATCATATTTTTAAAACTACTACGATATTAATATTGTCATTACCAAATATCTAAAATTATTATTAACTAAATATTCCGATTCTTTTTTTTTTTCAATATTAAGAAGTTTGTTTTGCATTATCTGAAAAAAATTTAAACACATACAAACAAAATTCAATTCGGAAAACAAATAGAATTAAGAAAACTTAAATTTGCATATCGAAAAACGATTTTTGTGAGAACTTCTTGAAGAAAAAAAAACCGTCACTATTTTTCAAAAAGCATGTTTTGTTAGAAATAAGAAAACATCTCAAAAAAGTAAAAATATATTATTTTTATAAAACTACATCTCAAAACGAACAAAATGAAAAAAAGTTTATATCTTTACTTTTTGCCAAGTAACAGGTACATCAAATTTTTTTACCCAAGATATTCAAATGCTCATAAGTCATAACATAACTAACTCTGTTCGCTACCAGTGTTCACGTACGATGTTACTAAATTTTAAATTTTCACTAACAGTCGTAGCAAAATTTGCTAAAACAATACTATTAGCTAACAAAGCTTAGTGCAGGCTAAACTTCTGATAGTTATTACATTTTTTTGTTAGGTGCTTCTTGGACGTCTTTTTTGAAAAAAAAATGTGTAGTAGACAAGAAGATGCAATCGTTGCAGGTGAAATATTACAACCAATTTTATTTGAATACAGCACTAGATTTCTTCAAATATCTACCAGCTTATTTCAGTAGCTGTCACTTGATTGTTTTAAAAAGATAGAAAATCTAATTGTTAGTGTTTGATTAACAACTACCACTATTCTTTCTAGAGGTATGTATTGTTTTTTGCTTGTTTTTACCGAACTTAAGTATTTTTCAAATACTCTTATCAATCCAGGAAAATATAAGACGCACAAAATGGGAAAATAGGAAACTGTTTCAACTAAATTCTAAGTCACCTTTGCTAGGCCAATCAATAGAGGTTTTGTTTGTGACAAAAATACTAGTAGCAAATGGATCGTGCCATCATTTAAAAGACAGTCTGTAGATATATGCTTATACACTGAAAGAAATGGGCTTATTAAACTGTTTATCTAGAATAATGTGTATAGCGCATATTAAAACTTTTATAACCAATATACAACTTTTATTAAAAAAAAAACAATAATCTCCATACTCATTATTCAATGAGTTTAACTGGGGGGTGCTTAATACACCTAAAGCATCTATGAAATAAAGGTTATAATGAATTACTTATACAGTGTTAGGTGTTATAAACTTTATATTCCAATTGTATAGTAGGGAAGATTTGTTGTATAAAGACCAGTATACGAATTTGTATATAACAATTGTATTAACAGAATTATTCGTTCTTATACTGAATATGTTTCCGTTTTTAACGTGTAAAACGCGTCTTATAATGGTTAAGTGATCGTCACCTCTCGGTGCATAATCGGTTATGATCGTAAAATTTCCGATAGTCCGCTGTGCATCGACTTAGGACTATTACACGTCTAGTTTAATGAAAATGGGCAGTATAGGCACATGTTTTGTGGGATACATGATCATATCGCGTTGTGTGAAATGGAAAATTATGTAAGTATCTAACTGTTTTATGGCTTGTAATTGTTTTGTTTTTTCAAATGTAAATCTTGTCTATATCTTAAAAATTATTATTTTGTAGGTCCTATTAGAAACCGCTAATGTTAAGTTTTACATAAGATGGAGGAACAGAAGGTTAACGGTGACAAAGAAGAGCATGGGTCAATCAACCAAAGGAAATAGAATTAGATGGAAAGAAGCACAGCCTTTCAGGGGATGCTTCATTCTTAAGGTGGAAGAGTTATAGTGCAAATTCTCATTTAATACAAGAAAATACGGGTGCATCGTTGCTAACAGAATAAACTGGACAGTTTTGGGAGCGATTTGTCATCATTTTTAATGCTTAAAAGTATGTTTTATGTATGTTTACATTAGAACCTTAGCTTGTAATTACAGTTATCTAATAAAATTTCTAAAAACTTAATGTCATGTATACAACAGTTTAATACATTTATTATTATAAAACTTATAACCAGTACTAGATGTTCTAATAACGACATGGAACACTTTAATAACAGTTATTGCTATTATTTCGTAAAGGGTATAAAAAACGTTGTATACTAGTTATACAATAAAGAATAGGATTTATAGTCACTATACAACTGTGCTAGCAGTACGCGTTTTATATCCAATATTCACCTGTTTAACTGTCACATATAGTATACAATGGTCTTATAATGGCATATAGAATTCTAATAAAGAATAAAACGCAGTTTTGTTTGAGCCCTTTTAAGGGCATGTAACTTCCTGAAGGTGCGTTTTAGGGCACATGTTAATAGGAACTTTTTGGCTTATTTTAATGAGTTATAAATGCAGCAGAAGTTTGGAACCCTATATTAGAAACATCCTGTATATAACCACTTACAATAATATAAAACTATAGGTATAGTTTTTCCGAAGTTAGTTGAACATGCATAAAAAAACGGAGCAATCAAATTTAATGAGTTTCATGGGCGTCACTAAAAAAGTTTTCTGCTAAAGGTAGAAAATTATAATAATTTGTATATAATGTGTAGAAAATTTCTATTATATGTTAATTTGACCAACAACATATTTTAATTATTTATGTCCTCTGTAACGAAGTGATTTTCCGACACCCCACATTTGTTTTCTTTTCATTTAATTTTATTAATAAATATAATTTACCGCACCGGCATTATCTTTGGCATTTTCAAACACCGTCCGTCCCCGCGCATCACCAAGCCGATAGCCGGCAAATCCACACCGCGACACCGCATACGACTCGTACGAGAGTCGTCTGCCAGCCAGCGTCGAGACCAGTCGTACCGAGCTCCAGCCTGCCGTCTAGCTAGCAATACGTCACCACCACCTGAGTAAGAATTTTACAGGTCCGTCTTAGGAGAACTACGCAGTCGCTGCTGAAGCGTCATCAGGGCTTAGGTATTAAGCCGCCGCAGGAGCGACAGTTCACCACGAGGCATCCTAGAGTCCAGTCTAGCCGTCAGCCGTTCCAAGTAAGACCTACGTCACCAGTAAGAACTTGGTAAGAATTTCACTAAGTCCTGCCTGAGGAAACTGCGCAGCCGCCAGGATCCGCCGTACGAGTACAGCAAGCAAGCTGCCGTCCGCGATTCAGTTCCTCACGAGCTGCCGAAGCGACCAGTCGAGCCTGAGAACAACTCCAGCAAGCCGAGACGTCATCGCGGGAAGTAGGTAAAATTGTACAAGTCCAGCCTAGAAGAATTGCGCAGCCGCCCGTTCCCAGGCAAGGAACTTAGGAAAGAACAGTCGAGCTGTTCCAGCCCAAACTACGTCACCAATAGGAATTGGTGAGATTTCGCTAAGTCCAGCCTGACAGAACCGCACAGCCGCCAGAAACCACTTCAGGAACTGTCATCACCAGAAGCCGTCCAATCCGAGCCAGCACCGAAGTAAGTTAGGTTCCGCGCATATTCAACGCACAAGTCTCTTGAGGTGACAAGGCGAGGTAATTGCACTGCAGAATTAGTTCTGTTCTACCGCTCTCACAGTGCAGACGTGTCGAGGGAAGGAAGTAAGTTAAAGGTTTAGGGAATATAGGTAAAAGACTTGGCTACTGTCCATTTGTATTAATCATACTTTGTCTTTCCAGATATCCATCCGAATGACTGCGTGGCTGGGTGCACTGTTGCAATTATCCGGTGTACTTAGCCCCGCTGCGCGTTCTGGTCATAGAGTGTTGCTCCCCCCTCCTATCCGCTCTATGAGTCGAAACGTAGGTCGTCCTTAATTATATTTTCTTTTCAGAGATCCGTCTAGCCGACTCCGTGGTTGGGTGCACTATTGCAATTATCCAGTGTACTTAGCCCCGATGCGCGTTCAGGTCATAGGGTGTTGCTTCCCCCTCCTATCCGCTCTATGAGTTGAAACGCAGGTCGGCCCTAACCATATATTTCTCTTTCAGATCTGTCTGTACGACTTCGTGGCTGGGTGCACTGTTGCAATCATCCGGTGTACTTAGTCCCGCTGCGCGTTCGGGTCATAGGGTGTTGCTTCCCCCTCTTATCCGCTCTATGAGTCGAAACGCAGGTCGTCATTAACCATATTGTTCTTCGTCCGTCCGACTCCGTGGTTGGGTGCACTGTTGCAATTATCCGGTGTACTTGACCTCGCTGCGCGTTCAGGTCATAGGGTGTTGCTTCCCCCTCCCATCCGCTCTATGAGTTGAAACGTAGGTCGGCGCTAATGATTTTTGTCTGTTTCAGCCTGCCAGCCGCATACCAGTGCCAAGGAAACCTATTATTCTTTAATAATTGTATTTCTGTTTATTTTAGAGATAGTAGCCAAGCCTGTAGTATATATATAGCTTTTAGCTCTTGTTAGCTTCGTTGCTTCTGCCCCCTGGTATCTGCACGCCGCTTGCCGTCATATTCACGCTTGTTTTGCTAGTGCCGCTAATTCTGTGTGCATTGCTTTGGTCAGGTCACCGCTTAACACCGCACCGTTATTTTACCATTCTTCGTAGTAACCCCCTGTATATAACCAAAGCCACTTGCCACCGTTTAGCCATAGATGTAGAGTATTAAAGTGTAAATAGGTAGAATTGGACTAAATAAATGTAAATATATACCAACTGTGTGACTTTTATTCCTGTGTGAAGAACTCTCTCTCGACCCTCTGGACATACCGTGTCTTCACTGCAGCCGCCCGCGTAGTGGTGTTTCTGCACTTTAAACAGAAACTGGCGCCCGAGGAAACCACAGCAGCTCAGGCGTCATAGTGACGAACGACGAAAATACCAACCGATACGTCGCACCTCTAACAACTTTATTATATTGATGGTAAATTTCGTTTTGTTCCGTTTCAAAAGGTCTCCAAAATGCCATGTTGTAATAATATTAGTAAACCAAATATCCCTCTTATTTTTCCCTTTCGCAATTGTAATATGAATGAAGGATGCCTATAATAAATTAAAATTATCTGAATCACACCAAATTCCGCATTTCCGCACTGCACTGCCAGGCAACTGAATTTTATGACGCAATAGACCAGAGTAACAGTATTGCTCTTTGCTCGCACGCTCATTCTTCAACTGAGCGAATACATGTCAACTTTCTCTTTCTCGGGTGCTGGTAAAAATATATTTTAGGGGAATTCAGGGCGTCAGAGAGGCTTGGAAGCAGTGTTATTAGATTTCGAGATTCTTTGGTAGATATTATTAAACGTCGGGCGCCATCCGCGGTCACCGAAATGTACTGGATGCCTCGTCACTGATTCCTAGCTTCCCTGTATATTTTTACAGCGTAGGAGCATGAGTTATTGGAATACTAAATAGAAAATGTAGGTAAATGGTGAAGAATTTGATATGACGCAGAGATGTCTGGCTATTATTGGGGGGTCTTATAATTACTTGCTGTAATTAATAATACTCGGATTTTGTACTTTATTCATATCGGCTTTGTTTCGGGTACGGCGGCGGCAGACTGAAAAAGAGGCATAAAACTTGGACAGACAGCGGCAGACCCTGGCTTCAGCTGACCTGCAGAGAGAAAAGAGGGCAAACTAACTGGCCACTTACCTTTTGTAGACTCTGGATACGGCGTACATGGACCTGGGGGACGGCAAGCTGGCGGTGACGGACTGGTTTGCTTCCGGCGATCCAACTGGCGAAGATGCGGCACAGCGCAACAGTTTTAGGGGATTAATTCTTATAGGAACCGTTCAATGAAGCACTGGAGAGTATTTTTAGTATAGGAAATTTCCCAACACACTTCGTAGCCTGATCGATGGTTTTTAGGTAGCACCAAGAGCTCAACTCACTTAATTACGCGACGAGAGGGTGGCTTAGCTAATATTCGGCGTCTTTTAGACGACCGGAGACTTGAAAGTTACTTGCTTTAGAGAAGCTACCTACTCAGTACGTACTGCCTGCGTTGCAGCACTCGCTTCGCCGCTGGGCCTGTGGGAGGCCGAGGCTCCATCTATCCATGATTTTCGGCGTTAGGTGCGCCGATTGGATCCCGCCTAATTTGCGGATTATTATTTTGGCAGTCTCGGAGCGTCTTATAATGACATACATTTCTACCACTTCCACGTTTAATTCGACCAGGCCTGTATATGGGTATGGCTAAATAAATATGGAAACAAGTTTTTCAAATATTTCAATGCCGAGTTGCTGTTTAGCGACCGAGCCTGGTACATACCTTGAAATTATTGGTTATTCAATTGATTTCGGAAAAACTATACCATAACTAACCTCACGTTTTATTCGTATTTTCGAAATGCCTCTTTATAGCATTCAGATTGCTTAGTTAGTTTAAGATTTATAAGCAAAATACTAAAAAAAAAAATAGTTTTCTGCTTGAAAATGTTTATAAAATATTAATTAATGGTAAAATGGAGTAGGAAACATATAAGCATATATCTACAGACTGTCATTTACATGATGGCACAGTCCATTTGCTACTAATATTTTAGTCACAAAATCACTGATTTAATGTTCTACTGATTGTCCTATGCAGAGATGACAAACCACGACCCCTTATTTAGAGAAGGACAGCTCATTGTAAATTGAATTTATTTTCTTTGTTTGTCATTTTTAGATATTTGCCTATTTTTATTCAAAAGACTCAATTTTTTAAACATTCACAACTTTCTGTGGGTGGTAAATACCAATTTATGGTATTTTTCAATCTATAATAGGTCCACCATTTTGGATTTAAAAAGTTCCGAATTAAAACCTTCGTTATTGGCGACATTGGAAACCACCGAGTAACAAGTTTCAGCCGTAATCTTCAAATTTTGAATATTTTCCGATTGTTTCATACATATTGGATCCCCCATCTTTTATTCAGGAATTTTCGGATTCGGACTTCAGATTCGTAATCAGCGACCCCAAGAACCCGCGGTAATAAAATTCAGGCAAAAACATTGAATAGAAAAATGTGTGACTTAAGGGTGTCGGCAAGTGATTTCCAACCCTTTGAGGAATAAGCTATATTACGTTTTTTTGGTATGTTGTCTATCAACCTACATTTTCCATATAAAGTATAAAATACTACGGGCAAAGCAACTGAGAGCTCTTCTGCTCAGTGCACTGCGACCATTGCGCAGAAAAAAACAAGAATAATTTGATCTCCCACATCTTCCTCCACCTTGTTTAGCAGAGGGTAGTTTTCTTTCCACTATGGGGTTGGTTCTTTGTCTGTGTTCACCCTTCATCATGTCTCTTCGGGGGAAGCCCTTGGCAATAGTAGATGAAAACACGAAGGTTGTACAGTGCCCGTTCATACTCCTTTCCGTAATAATATTGATATTCATAACTTTACCCCTATTTAAGGGATGTTTTGGCTATACACAAAAATTTAAGGGGTATGCAAATTTTTTTGACTTTGGATTCGGATTCAGTATCGAAAAATACATGGGAATACCATGGTCAGTAATCCAGATCACGACTTTTTTTTTGTGGGGCTATGTAATGCATCAATTGTTTCATTACTTGCACTTACATATTTCTGAACCTTGTATTTTATAATATGCAGAAACATAATGTCATGAATTGATTCGATTTTCAAAACTAAATCAAATAACGTAAATAGATCATTTACAAAGTGATAACTACTCTCCATTACAGGCGAGATTGTTATCAACAAATATTTCTGTTTAAGTTTCTGTAATTAACTGGGTGTTTTTATTTAATTACTGATTGTACCCTCATTAATTTCGTATCGCCATCTGCGGTTGCGTGTTTCGACATAATTTTAGGCACGCTAACTGCGTGCTGTCTATAAAAAAGCGACGGGAAATAAAAAGCATTGCAATTTCGGCGATGGCACGAATCCTTTGGCTTTGGCATTTATCAGTCGATAAACAAGGCTGGGTAGGCAGTAGGGCAGGGCAGGGCGGTGGCTGATGCTGCTTGTCACAGAAATGACCTTAAATTAGAGATCCTCTTTTGACGTTGACCTTTATGATTTTTGTTATTGTGAATGTTAAAAAATCAATCTGGTTTCTAATATTAACTGATGATCGATCACACGGTTAACAAATGGTATTCGTATTTATAACACACAAGTTGCCTAAATATGGACTCTTAAGAAGAATTGTGCTTTTCACGCATTTTTGCAAAAAACAATTTCAGAAATCTCTTAGTGAGAAACCATTGACATTATTTCATTGTACAGGGTGAGTAAAAATTAACTCCCCAGCGGCCGGATATATATTCTAAAATAAAAAATAAAACAAAAATGTAGAATATTAAAATCTCGAAAGCGGAGCCGTTTTCGAATAAATTATTAATTTGACTGACTAATCAAGTTGGCCGAACAAACATCTTGTTGACACGGATTTACTTGACAGTGATGTATAATATTTATTTGACTTTTAGTATTTGTTGTTGAGTTCAAAATGGCAAACAAAAACAAAAAAATTATAAATTTGAATTTTTCTTTACAAAATTTTCCGAAAACGATTCCGCTTTCTAGATTTTAGTATTCTACATTTTTGTTTTATTTTTTATTTTAGAATAGGTATATATCCCGCCGCTGGGGAGTGAATTTTGACTCACCCTGTATATAATAGTATTTTCCTAAAAAATGCACCTAATTATTGTTCCTATTAGGGATAGCAGTTCTTTATATGGGTACGCTGTTGTACGCAGACACATAACTTTACTGTCCTTTCAGATGAGCTACGATAAGCAGAGAATCGAAATGAACAGATGATGAGTATGCGATGGTTGGGGAAAGGGGGAGGGTCAATTAGGCCGGTTTTCAGACCCTTCATTTTCTGCCAAAAAAAAAAAAATTATTATATATTATTAGGTATATCCAATAACTAATCGATTCCACCCGAAATGGGGCCTCTCCCTCCTTCCTAGTCAGGATGAAAGTCAAAGAGTTTAGGTTTTTGGGTTGCTGACTCCGAATCGGAGGTTAGTTTGTCTGCCTGTGTTTGTCTGTGTGTCTGTTTTTGTAACCATTTTAAGGTTGTTTCAACGTCATTTCAAGGTCAAATTGAGAAAAAATCGCGCAATCAAGTCCGACCACATGTTAAACAGGATTTTAGGGTCGCTGAGTTCGAATCCGAGGTCAGTTTATCTGTATCAGGTTATTTGAAGGTCGTCTCAAGGTCAAATTGAGAATAGCCAAGCAATTAAGTCTAACCGTCTATTATACATGTATTTGGAGTTGATAAGTCCAAATTTGAGGTCAGGTCATTAGAAGGCCATTTTATGGTCATTTGAAAAAGTTAATTTATGGAATAAACCCTGCAATCAATTACCGTTCTTATAATCGCTGAGGTCCATTTATATGTATTAATAAAGGTTCAAGGTTACTCCAAGGTTGATTTGAGAAAAAGGACTTCTGGTAGGGTCAGAGAGAGACGATTTCAGATTCCTCTGTTTTCATCCGAAACTAAAATTGTTGATATTAAAAATTGGTTTAAAATCATTCGAGTTTAAACACAGCTACAATAACGCATAAGAGGTAACTAGTTGTGAGAAGTTTTTATATGGAAAATATTAACAGGAGAGCAGAATGTTAAATATTTTCGATGATTATAGTTTGGAAGGGAGATGATGAAAATAATAGAACAAGACAATAAGAAGTTTCTAGTATGAATTCAAAAACTATTTTTTACAATCTTCATGAACTATATATTTTGAGTTTGTAAAGTACATAGAGGATGAAAAATTATTATACAAGCCAATATGGATTACTATGGGTAAGAGTCAGTATGGGCCGAAATAGATAAGGTTTTTACGGCGCAATACGGATTATTATAAGGTAATATGGATTCTTACAGAGTAATATGGGTTGGAAAGAGGTAACCTAGGTTATTATGGGGTTCGATGGGTATGGGGTAAGATGGATTGATATGGAGCAATATGAGATAATAAGGAATATAGTGTTTATTGGGTAAGATGGAATGGAATAAGACGGGTATAGGTTACGATGGCTACGCATGAGGGTATATTGGTTTATACGGAGTAATATTTGTTATTGAAATGTGCGTGTATATGGCAAAATGGTTATGGGGTATAGTGGGTTAGTATAGCGCTTTATGGAGCTGATATGAATGTTATCATTAATCTTAGTATGTCGTTTATCCTACACTGAAAGAAATGGGCTTATTAAACTGTTTATCTAGAATAATGTATATAGCGCATATTTTATAACCAATATACAACTTTTATAAAAAAAAACAATCATCTCCATACTCATTATTCAATGAGTTTAACTGGAAGGTCATACAACTTATGCATCTATGAAATAAAGGTTATAATGAATTACTTATACATTACTAGGTGTTATAGACTTTATGTTCCAATTGTATAGTAGGGAAGATTTGTTGTATAAAGACCAGTATCCGAATTTGTACATAACAATTGTATTAACAGAATTATTCGTTCTTATACTGAATATGTTTCCGTTTTTAACGTTCCGTTTTTTAACTCTCGGTGCATAATCGGATATGATCGTAAAATTTCCGACAGTCCGCTGTGCATCGACTTACGACTATTACACGTCTAGTTTGATGAAAATTGACAGTATATGCACATGTTTTGTGGGATACATGATCATATCGCGTTGTATGAAATGGAAAATTATTATGTAATGTAAGTATCTATCTGTTTTATGGCTTGTAATTGTTTTGTTTTTTCAAATGTAAATCTTGTCTAAATCTTAAAAATTATTATTTTGTAGGTCCTATTAGAAATCGCTGATGTTAAGTTTTATATAAGATGGAGGAACATAAGGTTAACGGTGACAAAGAGGAGCATGGGTATAAAGTCAATCAACCAGAGGAAATAAAATTAGATGGAGAAAAACTCAACCTTTCAGGGGATGCTTCATTCTTAAGGTGGAAGAGTTATAGTGCAAATTCTCATGTAATACAAGAAAATGCGGGTGCATCGTTGCTAAGAAAATAAACTGGACAGTTTTGGGAGCGATTTGTCATCATTTTTAATGCTTAAAAGTATGTTTTATGTGTGTTTACATTAGAACCTTAGCTTGTAATTACAATTATCCAATAAAACTTCTGAAAACTTAATGTCATATGTTTTTAACTCATACAGAGTATACAACAGTTTAATACATTTATTATTATAAAACTTATAACCAGTACTAGATGTTCTAATAACGATATGGAACAGTAATAACAGTTATTATTTCGTAAAGGGTATAAAAAACGTTGTATACTAGTTATACAACAATTTAATAAAGAATAAGGTTTATAGTCACTATACAACTAGCTAGCAATACGCATTTTATATCCAATATTCACCTGTTTAACTGTCACATATAGTATACAATGGTCTTATAATGGCATATAGAATTCGAATAAAGAATAAAACGCATTTCATTCAGTCTATTTATTTTAATTATCTGTTGTTTATGTATATTTGTATAACAGTTAGTTGATTGTTATCATTATGTGTATTGTTATTTACGACTTTCTTTTTTTTGGACGCATGTAAACACTTTTATGTGTATGTAACACTAGCCTATATAAATAAATAACAAGGAATACGGGTGGATTCGAGGTAATATGGGTTGGTATGAGGAAATATGAGTTTTTGTGAAGTTTATATATGGACAGTTCAGTCCTTAGGTTCCAATAAGGTTCGGTGAAATACAGCGAGGTCCAAAATCGGCCCTCTTTAATCCTGCCAGAAAACTTTTTTTTTCTCAAGTTAACCTTGGAATGACCTTAAACCTGATTTGATACATATAAACGGACCTTGGATTCAAACTCGGAGATTTCAAAAACGGTAATCGATTTCTCGATTTTTTCTTGGTTTGACCTTTAAACGACCTTGAAATAACCCTCAAATGACCTGATGCAGACAAACTGACCTCGGATTCGAACTCAGCTATCCCAAGAACCTATATAACAGGCGGTTAGACTTAATAGCTTGGTTTGACACTGACACGACCAGATACAGACAAACTAACCTCGAATTCTAACCCAGTGACTCCCAAAATCATGTAAAACAAGTGGTTGGACTTGATTGGTCAGCTTTTTTCAATTTGGCCTTGAAATAACCTTGAAGCAACCTTAAAATAGCCTGATACAGACAAACTAATCTCTGATTCGCACTCAAAAAACTTAAACTCTGAGATCCTTTGATTTAATGCACTTTTTCTCAATCTGACATCTAATTGACCTTGATCCTAACTAGGAAGGAAGAGGGAGGCCGTGTTTGCGGTGGAATCGATTAGTTATTGGAAATAAGTGTTTTTCTTTCTTTTTTGTGGCCAAAAAAGAAGGGGGTTGAAAACTGACCTAATTGACCCTCTCCCTTTCTCCATACTTTCGAATTTTCGAGTTCTTCTAGTCAAACTGCTCAAGAACCGCTCCACATCCACCAGAAGCAGCTTCCTACGTCTACAGACGACCAGGATAATAACTACAACAGCCCGAGGGAAGACAATACAATCAAAATTTGTATAGACTGTATGATGATTACATTAACACAATTTTAAAGTCATAATATTCGCACACTTGTCGAAATATTCCATGACAATTTTGCATAAAAGAGGCCAAATTTCGTTGATACAGCGCTTAATTTTCTCCTTCAAGACACGGCCCAAAGAAAAGAGTTCAACGGCGTTAAATCGCATGACCTGGGCAACCAATTCTGATCACCAAAACGGGAAATTACACGACCAGGAAATGATTTATTGAATTGTTTTTAGGGCTATAAGACATGTGGCACAGTCTTGTTGAAACCACATGTCGTTTACATCCATATCCTGCTATTTAGACAAAAAAAAAACTGAATTATCATTTCGCAATAGCGGGCACCATTAGCTATTATTGCCTAAACAGCCGCATTTTCGCAGAAGAATGGTCCCATGATGCTTCCAGCCCAAAATCCACACCAAACGTCAGTTCTTGAATCAATTGAACTTTGTAACCATAAAGATGCAATTTTTTCCTGAAAATAAGCTGCAGAGAGCTTGCCGAATTGTTTGTTCCTAGACTTTCAGCATTCAGCAATACTCTCGCGAACTGTTAAGTACGATGTTTTATGTTGAACCACTTGTTGAAGGACGTTCAGAGTGTTTAAGATCACTAATTGATCCAGCCTCCTTGAATTTCACAATTAATCTCTTCACAGTTGGCAAGTTAAATCACAAATCTTCATTATTTTTTAAATTATAGCTTAATAATGAAAACAAGTTGTTCTTTCGTGTAGCTCTTCATTTCTAATAACTCTGAACTGTCAGCTGTCAGTTGCCGTTGGCAACACTTTATCACACAAATGGCGCAAAATTCAAATCTTGCGTGAATTTTTTTCAAGCACGTCTTATTCTTAAATGAAATAGAAACTAATTTCATTAAACACGAATAAATTATTCTGAATACATGTATTAATACACTTGAGGGATAGGTAGGTAACTAGGTCAGTATTTAACCAAGTGCTAATCACTCTCTATACTTCTAAAATAAGAGAAGGTAAGGTTGGGCTAGCTGATGATCTGTGCAAATTATTTAAGTGAATTAAATGATAAGACTAAAAGGGTTAGATGTTCTCATCCTTCAGTATGTTTAGGTGTAATGGCGTACGTTTGAGTATCCCGCAGATATTGGAAAACAGTAATGTAATTTAAGTCGAGTAGAGAATATTTCTTCGCGTGGGAAATTGTTATCGTAAACTCTCCAAAATCAATAATAGGCAGGGTTTTGGCTTCACAACAATTTTTTTTTAATTCCTGTGAATGACATAGACAGAAATGCTTACGCAACTAAAAATTGACGAAGAACATATTTTCCATATAAGTAAAAGTTTTTATAGGTGTACAATATTACTAAATAATGAATCTAATCATTTTAACAGATATGGAAGTTTCATGAAAACTGTTGTATAGGTACATTAATTTTATTTTAAGCAAGGAAAAAATGTGAAACTAAAGTAAAATTTTTCAGAAATATATTATATATATTTACTGTACTTTACAAAATTAAATAAATAAATAAATACAGTGTATTATAATATATAAGTATAATGTCATCATTACATAAAACAATCTCTAATACAAAAATACTAGTCTGGAAATTAGTCGCACTATTGAATTAACTGGCGCCTTCGCCAAAATGTTGAAAATAATTATGTGCTATATATTTTTTTTCTTAATTTATCTAACAATACGTTTTTTCTTTACACTTCGTTTCACACAACTTTTATTTCATATCAATACAGTTCTATGTATTCAAGTATAAAACGTTACAGATCAGAGGAAAATAAATGTTTCTTATAGAACAAGAAATATTAAATACGAGTATATTTAAGTATCGTAGTAACTCCTCAGCTGGAAGACACAACCATCATATATTGCGTTTTTTAAAATAAATAATTAGGTCTAAAAGTAAGTAATATACACTACATGGGTCGATTATTTTGAAAAAATATATATGGCACTGTTCTTCTAATTTTTATTATTTTTTCTAATCACCCTTTAGCTTTAAATATATGAAATGTTTTGGTGTTTTGAGACTTAGTACACAATTTTACTAGATAACAAAATGGTATGGAAAACTTAATTGTAGCAGTTGTGGATTATTTATTGTTTTTTTAAGATTAACATAATTATTTTAGAATTTCATTTTGCCAAAAATATATTCAGACAATGCTTACTTACTACACTGAAAGAAATGCGCTGTATTCTTTATTAGAATTATATATGCCCTTATAAGACCATTGTATACTATATGTGACAGATAAACAGGTGAATATTGGATATAAAACGCGTACTGCTAGCACAGTTGTATAGTGACTATAAACCTTATTATTTATTAAATTATTGTATAACTAATATACAACGTTTTTTATACCCTTTACGAAATAATAGCAACAACTGTTATTAAAGTGTTCCATATCGTTATAGAACATCTAGTACTGGTTATAAGTACTATAATAATAAATGTATTAAACTGTTGTAGCTAAGGTTCTAATGTAAACATACACAAAACATACTTTTAAACATTAAAAATGATGACAAATCGCTCCCAAAATTGTCCAGTTTATTTTCTTAGTAACGATGCACCCGTATTTTCTTGTATTACATGAGAATTGGCACTTTAACTTTTCCACATTATAAGAATGAAGCATCCCCTGATAGGTTGAACATCTTTCCTTCTAATTCTATTCCCTCTAGTTGCTTGACTTTATACCCATGCTCCTCTTTGTCACCGCTAGCGTTCTGTTCCTCCATCTTATGTAAAACTTCAATCGGCGGTTTCTAATAGGGCATACCTACAAGATAATAATTTTTAAGATTTAGACAAGATTTACATTTGAAAAACAAAACAATTACAAGCCATAAAACAATTAGATACTTACATAATTTTCCATTTCACACAACGCGATATGATCATGTATCCCACAAAACATGTGCCTATACCGTCTATTTTCATCAAACTAGACGTGTAATATTCGTAAGTCGATGCACAGCGGACTGTCGGAAATTTTACGATCATAACCGATTATGCACGGAGAGGTGACGATCACTTAACCATTATAAGACGCGTTTTACACGTTAAAAACGGAAACATATTCAGTATAAGAACGAATAATTCTGTTAATATAATTGTTATATACAAATTCGGATACTGGTCTTTATACAACAAATCTTCCCTACTATACAATTGGAACATAAAGTCTATAACACCTAATAATGTATAAGTAATTCATTATAACCTTTATTTCATAGATGCATAAGGTGTATTAAGCACCTTCCAGTTAAACTCATTGAATAATGAGTATGGAGATGATTGCTTTTTTTTAATAAAAGTTGTATATTGGTTATAAAAGTTTTAATATGCGCTATACACATTATTCTAGATAAACAGTTTAATAAGCCCATTTCTTTCAGTGTACTTATTACTACTACTACTACTTATTACTTTATTTTTAAGTAATTAATGACTGAATAGGGAAAGACATAAGTACTTACTTTGAATACATCTCTTTAAAAGTATTTCGAGATATCTTATTCATATTTTAAATTTGGATTTATGGACCTGTTTTCAAGAAATTATGTTTTACCTTCGATCACATATGCTTTAAAATGTAACGCATTTCAAACAGTATTTTCAAAATAAGAACTTTTTTATCGCTGGAAAAATATGAAATTTATTTTGGTGAACAAAATAAACACACCAGGACTTCAGGAAAATATAAAAACTGAGATGTTGCAAATTTGCAAATAAATTTTTTTAATCGATATCTAAGGTAGGTATTTGTTTTATGAATACTGTGTTGAGAAATTTACTATTAATCAAACGTAATTTTGAAATATAGAATTGAGGAATATTAATACTAAAAATTATAACAATAATAATAATAAAGGTTTATTCTTTCGTTAACTGAAACGTCACATTTTTAAGTTGACTGAACTAAAAAATAAAGCTTTTTAAATGGTGTTTCGACTTTAAAACGTTTTTCTAAAGAATATGACTGGGATATTAAATGAAAAAATCAGTTGAACTAAGCAAACATATACGTCATCATTTTATTGTAAATATTTTTTCTTTATCTAACGTTTAAAACGTTACCATTACGGAAAATGGCACTTTAATGGTTTTCATTTTCTTAGTGTACTTATACCTCTTGTTTAATTAATTAACACTGACTTAATACCTTTCTAAATGTGAAAGGTAAATGAAAAAACATGCACGATCTTATTACTTATTCAGTCCAATTTTCGCAGCGACTTCGTTCAAAGGCTTCCTGAGCGGTAAAACGATTTACTCAAAGGCACCTACACGTTCTGGAGAAATGCTTTTTGTGCGTCTTTTTACTTTTATTTGAGGAGGCACAATTAAAAGAAGCTATTTCCAGGCCGAAACCCGCAATACGTATGGCTTTATACAGAACCCCCCGCCATTTTCATAAATTCTCCTAGATCGATATTTACAATTTACATAAATTTATATCCGCTTTTCATGTCGAAACTTCTAAAAGTAACCTCAACTAAAATGAAATATATATACCTAAGGGAACGAAATGTGGAGATCCGTACCAGTCACCTGGTGATATTCGGGGCACGCAATACGGATAGCTCAAAAGAAATCTTTAAGTGGCTGCTACTTGCCTCCCCAAGTTTCATGCAAATCCTTGCGGAAATCGTAGATTTCCTTGTAGTAAATTGAATTAAATCAATCCTCAAGTTATGATGAAGGGCATACTACAAGCGCAACTATATCTATTTGTTCTTCCATTTTAATTGCAAAATCAATAAGTAACATATTTCCTCCACTTTGACAGTTTAAACTACAAATTTTAAGTAGAAAAGTGGATCATACAATTATTTTTTTCTACATAAAATGCAAAAGTACTTTTTGTTCAACTAAAAATAGTAGATTAAACCACACTATAACAAGTGTAGATAAAGTAATTCCACGAAAAGCAACACTCGATAAAGATCGTTTTTATTAAGAAAAATAAAATT